ATCAACATTAATATATTAAATTGCTACTAGTAGTACATGTTACTTTGGGTCGAGTATACAATACATAACTCTTAGTTTTAAAGATCACATTTCATAAATTACAAACTCATTAAAATATTTCAAAAATCAGGTGGTAAATAAATTTATTAAATATTAAAATATAATATTAATATACATTAATTATTTCTACCCATGTCACCTCACCTGCCACATCCTATCACCCCATTACACTACCTTCCCTCCACATCTCCACCAGTGACAACCACCGGTTCCCGCGGCCACTCTTGTGACAATTGCGACGACCACTCCGACGACTTTTCCGACTGCCGCTTCAGGTGTGTGCGGGTGCTGTGCGGTAGTGTGGGGTGTTTTGGTGGTGGTGATGGGTGTTATATGGGGTGGTACGATATGCTGGTTGCAACTACGATCATTGGATCTTCATGTGGTGGCAATTGTGCGGTATGTTGGTGGTTTTCGTAACTGTTTGTGACCAATTTTGTGTTGATTGCGACCGTTTGTGACTTGAGATTGACTTGGTCACAGACAGTCACACTCAATACAGATTTGGTCACAATTAGTCACACCAAAAACATAGTTGGTCACGGTTAATCCATCTCCTGTTGATGTTGAATTGAGAAGTTCATATAAGTTGGTAACTTATTCATGGAAAATGTTGGGGGTGTAGGTAAGCTCATCTCTGATATTAAGTAGAGTACAGCCTGATATCTATTCCATTCTGGATTTGGAGTAGGTACGACTTCTGTTGTAAGAAGCAATGACGGTACAAAAGGTGTAATTTCATTCGATGCCCTTGGTTATTTATGGTGACCCTATGCGATCAAGTATGTGTTTGTTGTAACTGTTTGTGACCAATTTTGTATTAAGTGTGACTGTCTGTGACCAAGTGAATCTCAAGCTACAATAGATCACAATCAACATAAAATTGGTCACAAACAGTCACAACAAACACATACTTGATCGTATAGTCACACCGACGCTCATCGCGAAGAGGCGACACCATATTTCACAGTAGCCGGTGCCAGTAGAAAGAAGGAAAGTGGAGAGAAGAAAGGGAGAAGGAAATAAATTAGTGTATGGAATGGAACGGGATATCACTAACCTCTGTTATTTGTGATTAGCTGTACCAGAAATGGACATGGGTTGGATGAGATGGTGGGTGGGTGAGAAGAGATGGGGGGAGAGAGAGAGAGCAGTGAGAGAAGGGATTTTGAAATGAATAGTGCGTGGGAGGGGGTTAGGTGAGGTTAATATGTAGAAATTATGTTTAATTAAATTTTTATTAATTATAATTATTAAAATCTAATTATCATCTGATATATGAATTTTNATTATGTTTAATTAAATTTTTATTAATTATAATTATTAAAATTTAATTATCACCTGATTTGCGAAATAAAAATAAATCCACCTGTTTTTTTAAAATGAATCTTTAAAAGTAGGTTTTTAGGTAATTTCTCATCAAATAATGACAGCCAATTACAACCCAATTAAATAACAACCCACATCCAAACAGACCCACTAAATTAATATGCCAATCAAATAATTGAGAGCCAATTAAGCGTGTGTCTGGTAGTGATAGGTAGCGCTTTTTCAACCGTTACAAATTAAAAAAAGGACCGTTGCTGTCTATTGTTGATGGACATGTCTGACACCTTTAGTTGAAAAAGTTGGCCATTTATTTGTCATTTTCCCATTTCATCCCTGTCATTACACAGTTCAAATTGCACATGGTTTGGATCAAAGGGTAATTTTTCGTTCAAATTGTGTAGAACGCGTGAAATGGTTTCAGCAAGTGGGACCCTTGATTTGACTGAAAATTTGATTTTGGAAGGTGAAAATTTCCACCAGACACACGCTAAAATTGAAAGGACCAATACAAGGAAAAGCCCAACAAAACACCAATTACTCATGGCACTTACCAAAATTATTATGGCCTAAGCATGGGTATAGCCGACAACACTCCTGATCCCACCAAGAAATTTGTCGAAAGTCCTAAGAATTCATCGATAGCCAAACAAAATTTGCAAAGCCCCAAGAATTGATATAGTTGATAGCTCCAAGAACAATGTTTGCAACACCAAAAAAAAACAGCGATCATCGGCAACCTAAGAACTTCACACCTAAGAGAAATCACCGAAGAGAACCAACAGAACCCTTTTGGTGAAGTTTTTCGTCCAAGTTAGTACCCGAAACCAATTACGAACTTCACTGTAGAAGCAGGGGCGGATTTAGCACCCGACGAGTCAGCGCGGCTGCCCGTACTGAATCATTTAATCATTTAATCATGATTTACGTATAAACTATTTCACTTGAATTCGAAAAAAATTTAAAACTTGATCGTACATGTATGATTAAAAAATGTATTTTTTTTCTTATTATTTTATATTGTATGGGATTATATTTTCGAACATATATGACTTTTTCACGTTTTAGCGCATTTATGTATTGTTTGAAAATTTTTAACATTATTNAATTTTGCATAACCTCCGCCTAAATTTGATAGCTTGTCTTTACTATTTAATCATGCTTTACGTATAAATTGTTTCGTTTGAATTCGTAAAAAAATTAAAACTTGATCGTACATGCATGATTGAAAAATGTATTTTTTTTCCTTATTATTTTATATTATATAGCGACCGCCCTAGCTGACTTAATATCTTGGATCCGCCCTCTGTGTAGAAGTCCAACCACGAGAAGAATTTCTCAACTAGAAAGCAACCATTTATTCACTCAAAATAGTAAAAGAACTCAGTTTAGATTCGAGAGCTCTGATACCATGTCGACTTTGATTTCCTTCCAATCCCTCATTTGAGGTTCTATGTATCCTTTATATAGAAGAATTACAGCTATCCAATTATGGTAAAATACAATGAAATCTCATATTCTAGGAAGTACAAAATTATGTACAATCCAATTTCTTAATTTAAGAAATATAATCAAATCTTCTGTTTTAGAATCTCTAACAACTCATTGACACTAACTGTTGTACCACCAAATTATACACATATCCAATAGTACTCGTCCTACCATTAATCTCTCATGCCATGTCAGTGTCTACATAGCCCTGTAATCACAAACCAGATTTTTTGAAATATAAGGCTAAATATGAAATACCTCTCAAGTATCTGAGAATTCACTTTACTGTCTCCCCCTGTT